TGCTGCCTGCACAGCCTTGGCAACCCCACGTTCAGCAGCCACTTTTATGTTACATATAGTCATGGTAACAGTACAAGCACCTTTCCTGTTTACTTGGGGGTTTTTTTGATAAAATTCTGTAAAAATATATAACATGTTCTAAGGAGACTATTATCAGATAAAAGCAGCCTGAATTTTAAATCCAGGAATGTGCTAAAAAGTGAGTGATAGAAATGTTGAACAAGCTATTTTAAATGGAAGTTACGGAAAGAAATGCTAGTCTCCTGCAATAATACATGATGTGCCCTGTGTTTGGCTTCAGGACTGAAGGCAGGCAACTAGGAGGAGAGAAAGGGAGGAGTAACTTCAACATGGGCTAAAGAGAAAACAAGTGGATTGGAGCACCTGCTCTGGGTAACTTCAGTAGCACTGTTTTAGGGTACAGCTTTCCTAAAACTCTTCCAGAGCATGCTGGTGTAGCAATTACTGGTAGGACAGTAGTAACCTGTGATATTGGCTGATGTCAAAGTAGCTAAGGAATATTGTCTATGAAATATAATGCTTACTCTGTTATAACTCGCATAAGTCAATATTGCAAATCTTTCAAGAACAAGTACCTTAGGATAAAATTGTTTAGAATTAAGAGGTCTGGCACGCCAGTCTTCCTGCAGGGTACTGGCTTGTTTCTGCAGTAGGCAGATCCCTGGAATATATTCTCAAAGCATCAAGAACATAACAAGATACACCTGGGGACATGAGCTTCTTTGAGAGCTGGTTATGTAGAGACAGGGGAATTAAAACACTCTACAAACCCTGGCCACCAGCAGCCATCTGGCACACAGCAGAGTGCTGGGCAGCGTGGCTGAGAAAGTGACCCAGAGGGTGAATATATGATAAGTGGAGCTGGCCCTTTAATAGTTATGAAAGGAAAATTATATCCCCTGGGTAAGTCTAAAAGGTATGAGAGTTTAGATGTTCTGTATCTGGCGGTCTGGGTACTTTAGAGAGACAGTTTGAGAAGTAGTGCATCCACACATGTAAGTCCTCTGTGTTTCCCAAGAGATGCACTGGCCCAGAGGAACTTATCACTTGAAAGGGTAATGGTGAAGACATTGAACAGATTTCAAAGCCTGGCAGTTAATGCTTCTTGCAGACAAAACTTTGCAGCCTCAGAGCAAAGCTGATTGTTGCATTTTTTGCCTTTGTCTTTCATGAAAAGTATTCCAAGAAAATGAAGCTGTACAAAGATAGTTTTGAGCTTCTTATGATTACATGATAGATTTTAATTTTGAACCAAGCAACCTCTGAGTGATGGCAGAGTAACTCTTGCACTTACTGGGGATGCACCCCTAAGAAAGTACAGCAGAGCATTTGAGTCACTGCATTTGGTGTGGGGATAGGAGCTGGTATTAATCATTGCAGCGCTTGAATCACACAGCATTAACAAAGACCCTCAGTATTGTTGATTCCCCTCCAAATCAGTTGCTTTTCAATACAGTAACCACTGCTCACAAAAAAAATTCTCTGTCCAGTATTCATTCTGTCTGCTCACTGAATGTGGGAAGAGAATGAGATTTAAACCTTGCTGGCTTGTGAGACAGATGGGAGGAAGACAGAGCTACAATGCTTGCTCTGCAGTTAGCAAGTGTTAATCCCAAGGTTGAGAGGTTACAGCACTGGCAAAGTGGGGTTGTCTTAAGTACACAAGGCTTTTCCTGACTGATCTGTTTATTTGCTGTGTTCTTTCAGGACCCTGTCAAAGACGGTGAAACAAAAATCAAGGCGGACTATGCTCAGCTGTTTGAGGATATGCAGAATGCATTTCGCAGTCTGGAAGACTAGACTCGACCTCTGTGACCACTCCACTTTGTCCTCTCAGTTCCTCATCTCAGCTCCTCTGCTTCCCTACCTTACAAGAATGATGCAACAGTACTTGAGTTGATAAATTACCCTATGTTTTCCCTGTTCATACTCAGAGAGTGTCTTTACAAAACATTCCTCTTAGTTTGTATTTGGCATTGCTTTGTGTGTCTGAAATGGTGCGTGATGTGTGAATGAGCCTGGTTGAGTGAGGAAATGCTGTTGTACACTTCTAGGGTGGGAAAAATTTAACCTTTCCTCTCCCAGCTCTCTTGGTAACCAGTCTTTCATCTTGGGATGGAACCAGTTGAGCTGTACTGGCAGAGGAGGTGTAGGTCTTCATGCAGCCATGCGGTACATTGCGAGCTGGCAGTGGTAAGGGCATTTACACCTGGCACTTTGCTAAGTGACTATCAGACATAGAACTCCCTGTTTTCAAACGGAATTTTTGACCATGCTCTGATGACATGTTGATCAACCAAAAATTCTTCACTACTCTAACTTCTCTCAGTTGAGTCTGTTGGTATTGAAATGCGGTGGTAGTTGTGGTTCTCCCCAAGAAGGGACTAACTAGAAGATGAGCACATACAAGTGACCAGTATAATTTTGTGCACTGGAGAAATACAATTTTATCTTCCTACTTAGTGCAGATAGTACTGTTGGACTCAGAATCAGCTAAAATCAAAGCCATAGGTGCTTAGCTTCCAGCAGGATTTTCCCTTCTTGGCTCCCACTCACCCCATAAAACTTCGTGACACTCAGCTGCTGTAGTTTGTGAAGCTTGTGACTGCTGCCATGTACTGCAGGACGTAGATGGCAAGTCACGGTGATGCCACATGTGTGGACCAGAACGCAGTCCTTCCTTGGTGGTGCTCTGTCTGCCAGTGCAGCTGCCCCCCAGTGCAATGCCTGGGTCATGCCAAGGAAAGGAAAGCGCGTGTTTAGCCTTCCTCCTCCACCTGTGCTCACAGGGCCTGATGGGTGGTGGCACAGAAGGTCCCCAGTTCCTGTGAAAGAGGAATGTATGATGCTAAACTGGGGATGGGGGATGAACAGGGGAAGGTTGACGAGTACAAAATGTATTTACTCCTGCTTTGTTGATTACGATGCAAGAGAAACCAGTGACTCTGGTCTTCTGCTCTGTGCTCTGGAAGCACTGTCAAGCAGCTGAAAACTGTCTCTCGAGCTCGTTTATTGGCAAAATTAGAATGAGGTGAGGAATGAGCAGAGGACAGCCTTTCTGTCAAAGTCCCCGAGCCCAGCACTCATCCCATTGCTGCAGAGCGAGAGAGAGAAATGCTGGCATCCTCTCCAGTCTCTCCCTCTTGCTCGCATCAGGTGGCATCCAGTGCTACTTGGCTGTGCAGCACCCTGTGCCCAGCTGGGTTCCAGCTGCCATCTGCTGCTTTGTCACAGTCCCGAGACAGTACCTGTTGTTGGTGACACTGTGCCTCCGTACGCGTTCGATTCTGCACTGAAGTATTTCCACCGGCCGCCAGCTTTGAACAGTAGTGACGCAAAGGGATCTTGTGCTATGGACCAAATGCTGCCACTTCCATTATGGTATCAACCCACTGTTTGTCAGGGGAGAGCCCAGCTGAAACTTAAAGGGATTAACTGGTTTTGGTTCTCCCAAAAGAAACTGCTCCTCCAGCTGATGTTCTGGTAGTGAACGCTTAAGTTTACAGCTCACTAAACTTTTGATGTATGCTGCTTATTTTATCAATGAGCATGTGTGAATGAATGGTCACCATCCAAGCCCTTGCTGGGCTCCTCATCATTTGTACCCTTCACCACTGTACAATGTAGCATTTCATGCTAGAAACCAGATGTTCTTATCTCTTTAAATAGAAGATGTTATAAACTTTACAGAAGATGTCTGAGATAATGCAGTTCTAATATTTATTGTGCTGTACCTGGCCCTGAAGTGTGACCAGTTCAAACAGTTTCATATATGTTTTTGTCTCTTTTGTTTTGTGTCTGTTTTCAGTGTTGAGATTCTGATGTTCACTGTGTCCTGCAAGTCTTCCCTCCACAGCTGTGGGAGGAATTACAAGATGGGCAGAACCCCACCACCTACTTTATCTTGTATATTTCATAATGTATGTTGCTGGAAATTGTGTAAAAAAAAATAAATTTAAAAAAATTGTTGAAGTCAATGAAAATAAAATTGATTTAAAGTAGGTCTTATTTGTCCTGTTTTCTTATGTCAAACCCAACCTGTGCCACAGTGGTGTATGTAGCAGACCATCAGGAAAGCTCACAGCTTGCTTAAAAAAATTACTTCATCAGTTTAGGGATTTCTTTAAACCTTTAAGCAGCAGTGGGGCAGGGATGCTTTACTTCAGTTCTCCCATTCCAGTACAGCTTGCAGAATCACAGAAGTATTAGGGTGGGAAGGGACCTCTGGAGATCTAGTCCAACCCCCCTGCTGAGGCAGGGTGACCTAGAGCAGGTGACACAGAAACTCATCCAGGTGGGTTTTGAATGTCTCCAGAGAGGGAGACATTCCCCCCACAGCCTCCCTGGGCAGCCCGTTCCAGTGCTCTGCCACCCTTCATGTGGCAATTTCGTACTCATATTGAGATGGAACTTCTTGTGTTTTAGTTTATGGCCATTGTTCCTCATCCTGTCACTGGAAACCACTGAGAAGAGACTGGCACTGTCTTCTTGGCACCACCACTGAGATATTTATATGCAGTGATGAGATTCCCTCTCAGTCTTCTCTAAACAGGCCCAGCTCCTGCAGTCTCTCCTCATAAGACAAATGCTCCAAACCTGTAATCATCTTTACGGCCCTCCACTGGACCCTCTCCAGTAGCTCCTTGTCTTTATTGTACTGAGGAGCTCAGAACTGGACACAGTACTCCAGATGTGGCCTCACTAGGGGCAAGTAGAGGGGGAGGATCACCTCTCTTGACCTGCTGGCCACACTCTTCCTGATGCACCCCAGGACACTATTTGCCCTCCTCACCACAAGGGCACACTGCTGGCTCATGGTCAACTTGTCATACACCAAGACTCCCAGGTCCTTCTCAGCCGAGCTGCTCTCTAGCAAGATAGCTCCCAGCGTGTACTGGTACTTGGGGTTATTCCTCCAGGAATCTCCTTGGACATTACATGAAAGAGTTATAATGCAGTAAGTACTCTTGGGGGAGATATTTTTAGGATTACTTTTATTACAAAAAAGGTGTAACTGTAAGCTTGCCTTTTGCTGCTAGTACCTGCCATGCACGCTAATGCAACAATTGCAATTGAACCACTTTATGGTACTTTGCTAAGCCTTAAAATCTTTCCCTGCTGTATACCTCATGCTGTGGAATATACCCCCTAAAATATCAGCTGTGTGTTTCAGATAAACCAATTGGAACTTTGGGATCAGAAGACGAGCAGCACTGCCCCCCACAGCAACTCCTTTTAAATAAGGAGTTGAGGCCTTCCGTAAACAGCAACAGATAAATTAAGAATATACTAAAAGCATCACATTTGGGCATTTTTGTACATTGACCACTATGTAACACCTCTTTGAAGAAAGTGTTCTGATATTTTATGTAATATATTAAGAGATACAGCAAGCTGAAGGTGTTCAAGTAATTCTACCACCTCACCAAAGGGGTAGAAGTCACAAGCTCATTCCTGGCAACCACAGACTAGCCAGTAGTTCTCTGTGGATATTAAGAAATCCATCAAGTGAAGTGATGAGTTCAGGTTTTGGCAGTTTGGAAGTTACCAACTGGCAGCGTCCTCACTTCATCCACTCGGCTTTTGTGGATCTGGAAGGCTGGTGTCACCCAGCGGCCACAGGAGCACTGCTCACCCCTCCAGCTGAAGGAGCCCAGCTTCGATGCACATTTGGGACACAGAAGCTGCAAGAAGAACACAGGACTCGGTCTAAGGCACGTGAGATGTAGATCTCATTAAAAACAGACCCAAAAGGTAGACTGGGATGGCTGTACTGCTGTTTAGCCCTGAGGTGTAGCAGGCAGCTGTGCTGGCAGAAGGGATGGTGTGGAAATGCAGCTGCTGGGACCTGGTGTGGTTCCAGGACAGTTTTACCAGGGTCGAGACTCAGTCAGCCTGAGACCACAACGGGTCTTTTAAATCCCACAAATGTTTCTCATACTAAAACAAACCCTGTCCAATACCCTGGTGTTCTCAGCCCAACCCAAGCAACAGCTCATTTCCTTGTAAAAGGGTATTTTACATTTAAGAATCTGTCCATAAGCTGCAAAGTTCATGCCAGAAAGGCTGGGAGACCCAGGTCCCTGGGCGGGGGGGGGTTTCTTTCAGGGAACAGACAGAATTTGTTTTGCCTTTGAAAAAAAAAAACAAACAAACCAAAAAAATAAAGCACATGCTCCACCTGTCCCTCTATTACTCCAAGCAATGCTGGCTCCATCCACTGCACAGGTTCAATGAAGTAAGAGGTGCACTTTTCATGGCCATTGCCACAAAGCCGTGCAGAGTCTGTTATCCTCTTGTGGGCAAAGGCTGTTGGTCCACTTCCCTCCGTGTGGGACAAAATGCTGGAACTACGGAACAGAGCACGTCTGCCATCCATGACACGGGGGGGGAAAAAAGAAACAAAATAAATGTCATTTTTTAAAATGGGGAAATCTACAGACAATAGAAAACAGGGATATGAACCTCCTGACAGTACGTAATTACACAGGAGTACAAATCCGATATTTTTAAAAATTAGTGTAGAAGGCTTGCAGGCACTGACTCCATTCAAGGTTGCTGCTTAACAAATCTAGGATTTGTGTAGGCCGGGACTCTGTCCCAGAGCTGTATGCTGTCTTTTATATTTTTAAACAATTCCTGTCTAGTAAAACCTAAAATCTACAGTCATACGCTTGAATAAACTTACGTCCAGGCCATAGCAGGGTTATTCAATTTCCCTTTAAGCAATCCATAAAAAGTAGTTAAAATTCACCAAATCCCCAAATCTACCAGAAGTTTCTTCTGGAGAAACCGACAGTCAAAACTCTAAGTTAAGGTTTAGGAGCAAAGACTCCATAAAGCTAAGTGGAATCATGCTTGCCTACAGAACATGGCAGGTGAGACTGCACCAGTGCTGCATCACAAGTTGTGAAAAGGTTTGCATTTTGTACTTTGATTTGATTTCTTTTTGGCACACACAGTATGGAAACTTAGGCAACAGCTCATCCTTGACTTTACAATAATGACATGCCCATTGATCTACATGGGCTCTTCTTCTCTTGAGTGGATTCCACAATGACATTTTAAGGAGGAATACAAAGTATTTTTTATGTATATATATATGAATAATTATATATATATAAAGTACCTGCATTTCCTGCACCTGTAGAGAACTTCTGTGTTTGGAGTTTGACATATACTGGTTGGATCAACAGCAAAGACTTCTCGGGGCAAGTCTTGAGGTTCTGCAGAGGGGTCAGTAACAAATTGTGGATCAGACCAAATCAGCCACACTGCATTCCTGGGAACAAGACAGGACTGCGCCTCTGCCCCAGCCCCAGCATGCAGGACCCACCTTCTTCTCTTTCATTTTCCTCTCACCAATTCCAGTAGATTAAGCTAAAAATGAAAGAGCCTCATCCCACCACACCTAAGACTGGGATTTGCTTAACGCAAGAAACTGATATCTAGACTATGGCCTTAACAATGGTAAAATAGCTGTAATTTGCTTTATTTTATTACTTAAACAGAAAGTAAAGGCAGAGGAGGTGTTGGAACAGTTCTGCCAATGTTTTAGTGCACGCAATACAGAAAGTCAACTTACAAATGGGAACTGCTAAAGACAATGACACTTAAAGGGTGACAGCACTGTCATGCTGAGTATGCAACACCAAGATCTTGCAAGAAAATCTACAGATTATTATTTTATTATAAAATTACACATATGCACACACATTTATTACAGTTACCCTCCGGCAAATTGAAGTATAAAAGTTGACTTCAGATTTCAACTTCATCTCAAGTTTTGTGTGTTATTTTTAATTTTTTAATCTCATTGACTTCTTTTCTGAGGATGTTGTTTGCTTTGCCAGAGACACAAAAATCACAAAATGTATCAAACTGACCTTTAACATTTTTGCACTTTGCTAAAAAGCACAGCACCTTACGGATCTTATTTCTCAGGCATCTCTCAAAGGCACATTTTTTTCTCCACTGATGAGCTGGGGCTCTCTAGGGTCAGCACGATGTAAACGCTTGCCTGGCCAACTCCTGGCTCGGCTGCTTTGAGGGCAAAACTCGAAGCCAACCCTCTTTTACACGGCCTTCTGTGTTCATTTCGGGACAGACAGGCCCCACTTCAAACAC